GTCTCCTGTCCTGCTGTATCCGCAACACCTAGAACAGCGCCTGGCATGTTGTAGGTGGTCAGTAAATATGCCCTCGGGAGGCGGACTTTGCCTCACCAGCAGTACATGGTCCCAGCCCCAGTATTCCGGAGCTGACGACCCTTGAGAAAGCAACTTAACCCCACTCAGCCTCAGTTTTCCCATCTGTGAAATGGGAGTAATAATAGTTGAGCCTGGCTCTAAGGCCACCAGAGGGGACATTTCCTTCCTCTGGAGCAGTTTGACAGCAGGCCCCACGCGCCCCAGGCTTGACAAGCAGGAGTCTCTGTGAGGTCCCCCCGTTCACGGAAGGTGGCAGGTGTCATTTCCGATGCCCATCCAACCTGTGATGATGAGCCGCTGTCCAGCCTTGGGACGGTCCCTGAGGACCGCGCGTTGCAAAGCCTTCAGAGGTGGTCAACCTAATCACGGGCGCTTCTGGGGTCACCCAGCACATCGGCCCTGACTCAGGAATCTTTCCACCACGCGGCCGTAGCAGGCAGCAGTTACAGGGCTTGGCACAAACCCCATGCTGACGTGGCTTGCCTCGTCCCACCTCACCCCTCGTGGGGCAGGCACGTCACCCCTGCCCCCGCTGGTCCACCCCAGAGAAGGGAGGAGTGCTGTGCCCAACACATTGCTAAGCCCCCCCAACCCCCGGGGTCCCCAAGACCCCACAGTGCAGAAGGGCCTTTCTTCTCAGCTTCGGGGAGCACCAGGCTCAGCCACCAGGGGGCACAAGTGTCTGGAAGCGGGCAAGACGCAGGCCGGCTGAGGACAGCGCCAGTGACAGTGACAGAGCTGGCGGCCATCCACCCCCTCACCCCCAAGCTGGCCCGGCTCCAGCTTCCGCTCTGCCACTTGCTGTGACTTTGTGCACGGGCCTCGCCCCCTCCCCAGCCCAGATGAGCCTGGAGGACCCAGTACAGCCATGGTGGCCGCCCCTGTGCCCTGCTTCTCTGCCGCTCCCGCGGCCCCCTTTGGACCCGGCCCCTTCGGGGTGGGCTGACTCCCCGCTTCTGGGGGGGTGGGCATGCAGGAGCAGGCTGGCGTCCTGCAGCTCCAGGGCTCTCCCTGGTGGACTGGAAGCCTGGGGGCCTGTGCTGCAGAGCTGCACAGACTTCCTGCTTCCATCGCGGGCATCAGGCCGCCCACCCGTGGAGTGAGGGGCTGAGCCAGGCTCAGGGGTGTGCAGACCCCAGGCCCCACGAAAGTCCCCTCAGATGCTTATTAGTAATCCCAGGCCCTGCCCCCAAACCTGACTGAGGCCCCCAGCAGGACTGAGAAGGGGCATTTTGAAGGAACCCCAGGGTGCTTTTGGATGCAAAGTCTCAGCGCCCTGAGCCCATCTACAGGTGCCAGGCCCCTCCTGCAGGTCATCACTGGTCCCAGTGCTTTCTTTACCTGCAAAGACAAAAACCTCTGGGCCAACCCCTCGGCCAGCAGTACCGCAGGCATCAAAGACACCCGGATCTCCATCTGTGGCCACATCTCTGGGGAGCACATGGCCTCTACAGGGCCTTCTGGTTCTCGTTTCCCCTGTCCAGACTCACCCGTGGAGGCTTGGGGTAGGGGGGTGGTGGGAGGCAGGGCTCCGAACCCTCAATCCCACCCACATTACAGATGGACAAACTGAGGCCCTGGGAATCACCAGACTTGGTGGCAGGGCTGGTGGACCCCAGTTCTGATTACTCAATCGAGGGCTCTCTCTCCTATCGGAAGAACAAGCCCTGGGGTCCCTCTTGGTGACCAGGGCTCTGTCCTGACCCCCAACACCCCACTGGTGGGTGGGAGGATGGATGGACTGCAGCTTCCATCCTGGGGGAGGAAGGGCATGGTTGGGGCCATCCGGCCTGGCATGGATCCAGAGCAAGGTTACTTTGGCAGTTTGGGGGATGGGGATCCCAGCCTCCCAATCCCTTTGACAGGGGCATTTCCATCCCGAGTCTCCGCACGTTCGAGCCCTGTCCTGGGCCACCCTTACAAGCAGTTGCTCGATTCCCAACCTCTTTTCAGGCCTCGAAGGCCGCCTACGTGAGTGGAGGCGGGCCTGGTGGGCACCCAGAGCCCCTCTGCCTGCCTGTGGGGGCAGCAGCTCCACGAGAGCCGTCACGTGGGGCTTAGGCCCGGGAGGCCTGGTCATCTGATGCTTCCCAGGAAGCCAGAAATCAGGGTTTCCATGTCAATCTCTCCATTGTCAAATCTTGGCTGCACACAGTTTTTGTTTTCTCCCCTGACACTGCAGGCCGTGCAGAACACATTTAGGGGTTGTCCCCTGCTCTGGGTGGGGGGTCACGACAGCCTTGCCTCCGCTTGGCCTCTGCCTCAGATTCCAGCCCTGGGGGTTGGCTGAGCCACACCCCTGTGCCCCTCGCTGCCTGTCACCTGCCCTAACACAGGGCAGCAGCACCTCACCGAGCCCCCACCACACCCCAGCTCTGGGCTCTGGGGTGTAGGCAGATTTTACAGAGGTCGCAGCCGGGGCCGGGGCGCTTACAGCCTTAACACACGCTGTAGATGGCCTTGAAATCCCTCTGCCATCCCTCCCTCCCGAATTTCTTGCTGGCCACTTCTCCCAGAACCCTGCTCTCTCTCTCCACTCCCAGAACCCCCTTTCCAGCAGGACCCCCTCCCCTCTTCCTCTTCTCCCTTCCTCCTGCCTCCCCTTCTGGGCTGACTTACCCACATGCCACCCATTTTACCTTTAATTTCTCATCCACGGGGTCTGCCCCCCTCCCCCTTCCACCCTGAGCGGCTGCTTCTGCCCCAGAGCCCAGCGCCCCCACCTGAGTGCACCGAACAAACAAAGCCAGCCCTCTCCCTGGGAAGGTGGGGGGCAACCTGCTAACCCTTTGGGAAACCACCATGCATCCCATCCCACCCAAAGTCCAACCCCATTTCCCTGCTCTGCTACACTCGCACCGCTGATAGTGACCATGGCTCTGTCTCTGTCGGTCCAGTCTGGCACTTTCCACAAAGCATCTGTGCTGCATGCCTACTGTGCACTGGGCTTGGAAATGTAGTACGGAAGCCGTCTCACAGTCCCTGCACGCCTGGCTCATGGCAAGAGGATGGAAAGTCACCACATGACCAGAGGGCAACCCCGGGGCCTAACCTGGGGTGAAGGCTGCCTGAGAAGGAGGAGATGGCTGGCACTGGGAGGTGTCTGGTTCCCAGGCCGGGGAGGTGGCGGTGGAGGCAGAGGGACCACATACCTCTGCAGGCGTTCCTAAAAGGGTGAGAAGCCACCAGGGGTGGAGGAAGGGGCCAGCTCAGTCCTTCCTGGCCTGTCGGCTTACGCCAGGTCCTGCAGGTCTCAGCCTTGGGGATGATGGACTCTGCAGGTTCACGGTCCTTGATCTCCACTCCATTGATTTTGAGGTCAGGTCAGGGAGTCTAACGGACATGACTCTGCCTCCCTAGGATGAGGGTAACGTCTGGCACAAAGCAGGTGCTCAGAAAGTGCTGATTGACTTTAACCGGGCAATGTCTTTAATAGCAGGGTGTGGCTAACCCTGAGAGGTTCTGTCATACACTTTCTAAGGGGCTTGGCCTGACCTTGGCAAACCAGCCCACCTGGCACATTGGGCATGAAGAGCCCGGCTTTGGGGGCTGAGCCAGGCCCCACCAGTGCCTCCTCCAGGCTGATTACTGTCTCTACACTGCGTCAGACTGAATTAGCTAGCCCCCACCCATGGCGTGGAAGGAACCCCTTTCTTGGGTAGCAGGTGCTTTAGTTCTGCCATGGAGAGGAAGTGGGAGATGCACACACCCTGGCAAAAGGGATCCAGTGGCCTCTGGGTTTCAGTTCCCTGTTCTGTACAATGTGGGGGGAGCCTCTGAGCATCCATCACCTGCTGCGATTCTAGGATCAGCACATTTCTCCCCACTGATTTATCAGGGAAGTATCTATGGGAGGACATGGGGTTGGGGGTTGTGGTGCCACCAGAACTTGCTCGGCACAGGCATGGCCCCAGGAAATGCCCAGGAAGTAGGGTGAGGGCAACAGTGCTGTGGTGCCCTGTCTGAGTTGGGGAGGGATGGGGGGCAGGGCTGAGGATGGGTTGCTGTGCATGCCTGTGCAGTGTGCTTGGGAGGCCTGAGTTGGCCCAGAGTTGCCATTTGCTGATTATATGGCATTGGGCAGGTCATTGCATTTTCTGAACCACATCCCTTCAACTGGAAATGGGAAGAAAGATCCCTATCTCTGTATCAACTAATACTCCAAAAAAAAAATTTTTAAGAAAAAAAAAAGAATTCCTACATCATAGAGGGAGAGTGATCTGAGACCAAGCATCTAAAGGTGTTGTGTGAAGCGTGGAGAGCACCAGGGCCCTGTCCTTCCTTCACTGGGGTCACTGTCCCCAGCCACCAAGTCTTAGGGCACCCACTTGTTTTTACCATCCCTGATACCCGGAGGGCGGGAGGAGCGACAGCTTTGCTGGTTTCTGCAGTGGACAGGCCACTCGTGGCAGCCCCGGGTGTGGCTAGCCCTCCAGCCAGAGGAGGATGATTGGTCGGGCCCAGGCCGGGCTTGGGTGGGGTGGGGTGGGGTGCCCCAAGGGGGCCGGAGGTCTCCACCAGGTCTTCATGCGAACCTGGGAGTCTGTGTCCACGCGGCAGGGCCTTGCGGGCTCTGTGTGGGCAGAGCCTTCCCGGGGATGCCAAGCAGGGGTGACTCTGGTGATGCACTGGCAAAGGAAGGAGGCCCCGAGCGCCCTGCGTGCGTGTGGCCGCAGCGGCCGGCTCGGGGCGGACGCTCGGGGTGGGGTTGTGCGTCCCACGCGTGTTGGTGTCCCGTGGGCCCAGGTGGCCCTCGGAGGACCTGAGGGTCCAGGCGCGCCCCAAGGGCACACTGAGGGGGCTTTGGGGCCGCCGCGGAAAGGAGGCCCCGCCCCCCGCCGGGCCCCGCCCCTCGCCGCGGCCCCGCCCCTCGCCGCGGCCCCGCCCCTCGCCGCGGCCCCGCCCCCGCCTCCGTTTGCGCCGGGTCCGCGCTGCCGGCCGCGCTCCTGGCGCTCGGGGCTGCGGCCGCTCGGAGCAATGATTAACCCCGCGGGCCGGGCGGCGCGGGGCCCGGGGCGGAGGCGCGGGCGCGGGGCGGGACCCCGGGGGGCCGCTCCGCTTCCTGCTCTCGCCCAAGTTTCCTCGTAGAGGGCGCAGTGCCGGCCGGGCCCGCGGCGCGGCGTGGCGCAGGGCGCGGCGCGGGGCGCGCGTGGGCGCGGCGCGGGCCGCCCGGGTCACGATGAGGACTCTCCGCAGGTTGAAGTTCATGAGTTCGCCCAGCCTCAGTGACCTGGGCAAGAGAGAGCCGGCCGCCGCCGGCGCGGACGAGCGGGGCACGCAGCAGCGCCGGGCCTGCGCCAACGCCACCTGGAACAGGTAAGGCCGCGCCCTCCCGGCCCGGCCCGGCCCGGCCCGGCCCGGCGCCCGCGGAGGGGGGCAGTGGCCCGCGGGCGGGGACGCGAGCCCGGGGCGCCGCGGCACTGCACGGTCTGCAGGGAACTCGCCCCGCCGGAGTTGGGCGGGGAAGTTTAGTGCAACGTGTTTCTAGAAGGGAGGGACGGGCCCGCGGTCCCGGGGCGCGCCGCGGAGCGCCCAGCGGGTGGGCGACGAGGTGGGCCCGGAGCCCGCGCGCCTGCCCCCCCCCCCGGGGTCTCCCCGTCTGCGCCCCGGTGCTCAGGGCAGTCCGGGAGGTAAGTGGAGCAGGAAGTATTTTTCCCATTTCGCGGATGAGCAGACGAGCCCCAAGGGCGCAGTCGGTGGGTGGCCGCTGCGCTTCCTGTCTCAGAGTCAAGGTCCCTTTGGTCGGAGAGGGGTGGGCGGGTAGTTCCCCCGAGCGGCCCCTGGTCCTCCCAGCTGTCAGCAGGGGTGCAGCAGCTGCCTGGCATTCCTGAGACGACCCTCCCCCCCACCCCCCGGGGGCCTTTCCCAGACCAGCTGGGGCGTGGGAAGTCCCCCCACCCCCAAGCTTTGTTTGAAGAGTGGGGCTGGGATCCGGAAAAGAGACGGTTTATTTAGTGAGAGTCCCCATCCTGGCTGCTCCTGATCCCTTTTCAAAGTAGACATTTCCACCAAAAGGGAAAGGGAGGGGAGGGTGGGAGGGGGAGGCTGTTCAGGGGGGCCGAGGATGCCTCCCCACTGCCCGGCACACCTGGCAGTGAAGTGTTGCCAGCTGCACTGGCTGCGGTCCTGGCCCCCCAGGAACCCGGCTGTCAGTGTGGCCACACATTTATTCTGCTCATCGAGAGCTCCGTGAGCATCATCGCGGGCCCGGGGCTGCCAGCCGGAGACCCTGGTCTGTGCGCTGGGCAGGACCCCATTGTCCACGCGCTGGTCTTCTCGGTCCCTGCTGAGCTGCAGACTGTTGGGGCTGGGTTTGCCTCAGTTTCCCTACGTCCGTGGGCTCATGTGCCTTCCTCCTTACGGGGCTGATGGGGAGACAGAGAAGGAAGGACTCTCACTGGGGAATCTCAGTGACCCTACTGACCGCACAGTGTCTCAAGAGTTGATTTCTCTCATCTCGGAGTTCAGGAGATAGGTGCAGGTAGCCCCCTCGTTTCTCCACTTTGGCTTGGTGGAAGGAGCCCAACAGACTTAGTTCCAGTCCCAGCTCCGCCTCTTCCCTGCTGCGTGGCCTTGAGCAAGTCGCTTAACCTCTGGGGTCCTTAATTTGCATAGCCATAAGGTGTGCTAATGAGAGTGTCCACCTCATGGGGCTGTTGTAGGGATTAAATGCAAACATGCATTGAAACCCTCTGCACAGTGCTCCGCGCATAGTATTCTGTAACTCACGTCGCAAGCCCAAACTCATGCTGGGGTGGGCCTGTAGGGATGGGATTGGGGGGGCCCTCAGGAGTCTGCCAGGTACTGAGCTTTGTGAGCTCCTCTCTGCCAGCTGGGATCTCCTGCTGGGGCTGTCCAGACGGAGGCCAGGGTATTGGCTGGGCACTGACTGGCTCAGGGGCTCAGACGGCCACCCGCTCGTGTGACCTGAGGCCAGCTCTGAGTCTTGGGGAGCTCAGGGAGGTGCCTGCAGACAGAGGCCACCTGAGTCCCTCCGCTGCTTTCCACTTAATGGGATTTAGAGCTTCAGCCTCTGCCAGACTTCAGAAGAACACGTTTCCTCTCCCACAGCTTGAGTCTTCCATCCCTTGGGCACATGGTTGCTCCCACCTGCTGTCTTGCACTCCTCCTGGGTGCCCGGCCTTTCATGGCTCTTGGTTCACTTTCCCTGGCGAGGGAGGTATTTCTATCACCCCACCCCACCCCCTTCGGCCATGTACAGAGGGCACAGAGCACCCAGCAGACCTGCCCATGTCACTGTCACCCATGTAGGACACAGCAGAGCCAGAGCCCCTGCTCCCTCCTCCCCAGGCAGAGGGGGTACGGAGCCAAGGGGAAGCAAAGCGCCTTCCTCTGCCCATCCATGAGTGGGAGCAGTGGAGGGCCGGGGGGCGGAGGGGGGGGCTCTGCTCAGGTCTCTCCTGCCCGCCCGCCCACCCCTTCTTGCAGTGCTCCCTGCAGCGTCCCCAGGATGACAGCCTCGTGCCAGACAGTTGTGTCGGTTGTCAGGGCCTGCTTTGCTGAGCTGTGGGCTTCTCCCTTGGAGTCCAAGGCCTTTTTATCTGTGTGGCCATACTAGTGTCACTGGGCTGCTGTAACAAATTGCCACGATCTTAGTAGCTTTGAACAACAGAGGATCCGGAGGCCAGAAGTCCAAAACGAAGGTGTCGGCAGGACTGTGCTCCCTTCGAGGACCCCAGGGGAGTATCCTTCGGCCTCTTCTGGCTCCCGGCAGTTTCTTGGCTCGTGGCCATCAGCCTCCATCTTCGTGTGGCCTCTCCTGGGTCTCTGTGACCGAATCTTGCTCTCCTTTCTCTTCTAAGGACACCAGCCATTGGCTCTAGGACCTCCCTCATCCACGATGGTTTTTGTTTCAAGATCCTTACCCAACCAACATCCGTGAAGACCGTGTTTCCAGAAGACAGGAATTTCTAGGGGACACTATTCAACCCACAACAGTGACCCTGGGCACACCCCCCTAAATCTCCTGTGCCTCTTCCCTCACCTTGATGTGGGGCAAAAGTACAAAGCTTGTTCTCAGGAGAATAGGATCCATGCATTCACTTAGTATTCATTCATTCATTCAGTTGCTCAAGCATTTGTTCACTCCCTGGCGCTGGGCGGCTCCCAGGGTGTTGAGTCAGCAGAAAAAGAACAGCCTCCTGGGCCCGGAGTTGGGAGAGGGAGTCAGGAGATAAACAGGGACACAAGTAAAGGAATGAGGTCACCACAGGTCGTGTTTAGTGCCTGGAAGGAGATAAAATGGGAGGTCAGGTGAGCGCTGACCACGTAGCTGGCCCCTGTGCTTCATTCCTTCCTCCGGAATGTTGACTCCTAGGTGTGCGGGAACTGTGTGGGTGACCCACACAGGCCCCACTGGTAAGGCTGTTTCCTCAGCCCCTACTTCTCTACTGCGCGGGCTTGTCCTGAGCCAGGCCGAGTGCAGGGCCCCAGATAGGTGTACCTGTGTAGCACTCTCAGGCTGGGGGCCTCGGGAGGCTGGCCTACTGCTCCCACCCAGAGTCCTCCCTCTTCCCTCCTCCCTCCAGGGCTCAGACCTGGCAGGTCCTATCCCCCTCTGTCCATGCATTCCTCCTGGACAGCCCCAGTTGGCTCCTCATGGGGTTTGGACCCCATGTGGGTGGGGGGCCTCTAGCTCCGTGCTAGGTCATGCTCTTGAGCTGAGGAGCCAGCTGAGGGGCGAGGGGCGAGCAGGAGCTCCCCAAAGCTCAGCCCTGGATTGGGCCCGGATGCTTGAGGTTTGGAGAGCCCAGCGCCCACCCCACCTTCTAGGTATGGGAGGGGAGGCCCCGAGTAGGGTAGGGTAGGGTATGTGCCCACACGGTGCCAGGCACACTGCATGTGACACTCCCTCGCTCCCCATACTCTCCCTCCAAGGCTGGGATGATTGTCTTCAGCTTACAGATAGGGAAACTGAGGTGGCAGGGGGGCGGAGTTGCTCAAGATCTCATGCTGATGTCAGGGTCTGGAATCTGACCCCAGGTTTAACTGGAGGTCATGGCCCCAGGGACAGAGAGAGGTGGGTGTTGGTGGTAAGAACCTGGAGGGTGTAGACAGCCCGCCTGGGCCACCCTCCCCCGTCCTGGGCAAGGGCTGCCCGCCCAACCCCTGCAGACTGCTCTGCACACAGACCTCCTCCCAGCAACGCCAGGCCCCCAGAGCTCTGCAATCTGCAGCCGCGCAGGCCATGCGCAGGCCCTGACCTGAGCTGGGCCATGACCAAACCCCCGCCAGCAGCGCTCCAGTCATTCCCCAGCGGCCCTCAAGGTGGGGCTCATTGGCCCCATTTCACAGGGGAGGATACTGAGGCTCAGAGAAGATGGGGCCCAGGTCCACACTGAGTCCGGGTTCTAAGCCAGGGCCAGCTCCAAAGCCTGCACGTCTACCAGCACCTCTCTGGGGTCTCTGAGGGGCCAGAGGAGGTTGGCTGGAGGCTCCGGGGTGGTCCATGGGGTTGGAGGGGGCTGGGAGGGCCTGTGCTTGGCGCCCCTCCCACAGGCTTGCCTGATGGATCTGGGTCCTGAGCCTCCACACCCCCCCCAGGCAGTCCAGGTGTGGTCAGCAGAGTAACGGCCCCCAAAGCTGTCCACACCCCGGCCCCCCAGAACCTGTGAATATGTCAAAGGCAGAAACTCTGCCGGTGTGATGAAGTTAAGGATCTCGAGATGGGGGCCCAGTGTCATCCCAGGGTTCTTCAGGAGAGCGAGTGAGGCACAGGGGTCAGAGCAAGGGGAGGAGATGGCAGGATGGAAGCAGAGATAGAAGGTGCCACCGTGCTTCCTGGGTGAGACAAGGCTGGGACAAGGAACGTGGGCACCTGTAGAAGCTGGAGTAGGCCAGGAAGCAGATTGTCCCCCGGAGCCTCCAGAAGGAGCCAGTCACACCAACACCTTGATTTCAGCTTCGCGGAACTGATTGAGAACCTCTGGCCTTCAGGAATGTGAGGAAACATATTTGGGTTGTTTTAAGCGACTGTTTGTATGTTGCTTTTTTTTTTTTTTAAGACTTTATACATTTATTCATGAGAGACACAGAGACAGGCAGAGACACAAGCTGAAGGAGACACAGCTCCCTGTGGGGGAACCCAATGCGGGACTCGATCCCAGGACCCTGGGATCACACCCTGAAGTTAAGACAGCTGCTCAACCACTGAGCCACCCAGGTGTCCCTGTTTGTGCCATTTGTGACGCTAATACTTCTCCCACCTGCAGTTCCCTCCCAGCCCCCCCAACCCTCCCCGGCCCCCGACCCCAGCCCTCCCCAGCATGGCATCCAGAACCTGCCTCACAGCTGGGAAGGGGGGGATGTGAAGCCCCCCCCCCCCCCCCCCCGCACCCATTCAAGGATGCAGGTGCTCCACTCTGCCCCCTGCAGTCGGGACTGGCGGATCAGGCCCCTTACCAGGTGCCCAGGGAGGAGTGCACTGGGCCTGGGCCCCTCCCGCTCGGCCAGGAGCCCTGTTAGAGCATCTGCAGCCAGGTGGGCTGAAAGCAGGGGGTGAGTGGGACCTGTTTGCAGAGGAGCAGAGGAAGCTGGCACAGGCCTGGAAAAGGCCTTGTCACCCCAGTTTCCAGAGGGTCACATCGGGGCCTGGATTCCAAGTTGCCTGCTTCCTGTGCCTTTCCCCTGGAGGTGAAGAGGAGGCCAGTGGGCTGCTCCTGGGGCAGCTGGAGCAGAGGTGGCCCCCCCATTCATCTCTCAGGGCCAGGCATGACCCCCGGGTACCGGCAAGGACAGGCGCAGACAGAGAAGAGGGAGGACTAGCGCCCCAGATGTCGGGTGGGGTGGCAGCCAGCAGCAGGAGTGGAGCCTGGGGGGCCCAGTGGAGCCCAGCACCCCCCCCCCCGCCCTTCCTCATTCACTTGACCATCCCTTCCCACGTGGCCGGTGGGACACACCCAGCCTGGACGCCAGGGCGCAGGGCCTGAGGACGTGGCCGTTGTGCTCAGGTCTGGGCCAGTCTGCTGGGGCCACCTGGCAGAGGCCTCTGGAGGCTGTGCCTGAATCGGGGTGGGCACCTGACAGAGGCAGGGCTATGCCTCCAGGTCCCTGCCAGGGGCCTTACAGTCCTCAGGGGCCCCTGGAGGTACACTGGCCTCACCGACCAGCCCACTCACTGTGCTGGGGCTTCCTGTGCGAGCACATGGGCAGCGCTGGGAAAAGTGACGGGGGGATGTGGGGCCCCCTTCACCCTGCCGCCCCATATGGGCTCCAGCCCAAACCAGGGGTCCCCGGGCAGGTGCCCCCAGGCGCCTGCAGTCCGCCCTGCTCCTCCCAGTCTGGTTGTGCCCCCTCCCTTCTCTGGGCCCCTTGCTCTCCAGGGCGCCCTAGAGCCTCCCCAGGGGCCTCGCACCTTCTCCCCTTTACCACTTACCGACTTGGGCCCAGGCAAGAGATGCTGGGACGCACCGGGGAGGGGGACAGGCTCCACGAGGCAGTGCTTGGCGGGGAGAGGCCGTGGGTCTCCTCCGGAAGCACCCTCAGGGGCTGCCTGTGGTTTCCACGGGACCATCTGCCAGGGCCTGCGTCTGGGCCTGCCCACCTCTGGCTAGGAGGCCACGGCCCGTGGTGCCTGGGGTTTCATTTCTATTTTGGGGGGATGATAAGTCACATGAGGGCCTCTTGCTCCCCACCCTTCCTCTCCCCAAATGGCTCGCAGCAAGGATTTTTGTTGTTGTTTGCCCAAGTTGGACTTGGGAAGGAAGGGGAGCCTCAGCCCGTTCCTGCAGAGGGATGGAAGGCACAGGCCCTGCCTGTCCGCGCACCCCCGTCCCCCGTCCGGCCAGGCACGGGGTGTGAGGCAGTTCCTGGGCTAGCACAGGTGGGTGAGGGGACCGCGGGGACCACAGGCCAGGCTCACTGGCTCTGCCAGGTGTCATGCTGCGTGTGATCCTGGGCTGTCCCTTGGCTCACCAGACCCTGAGCATTTCCTTCCGGAGCCTGGGGTGTGACAGGCCCCCTGTGTGGTGGTTAGAAGCAAGAGATGGAGAAAACCACAAAGCGGATGGTTGAGCTGTGGTGGGAGCTTCTGGGGACAGGCCTCTGCTCAGAGTCACTGCTGCAGATGCCATAGTGGGTGTCACTGGCGGGCCAGGCTGCTGCCTGGGCACTGTCTCCTTTGGGTGCTAGCGTTCAGGATCCATCGTGCAGATGGGGAAGCTGAGGCATGGGTGGCCAGGGGTCACAGCGGGTGTGGGAAGCGGAGTCTCAGGTTGGCCCCTGGGGTGGGGCCGGGGCTGCTGGGATACAGGTGTAGGAAGGACCCAAGGGAGATAACGTCCCTCGCTGGCTGACACTCTGGGTGCAGCGCCCGGGGGAGGCTGGGGCTCAGGGGAGAACAGTAAGGCACATAGACCTCCCTCCCCAAGAAATGACTGCCAAGGTCAGTTTTTTTCCTGCAAGACTGGTATGAGGGAGGAGGGACCGACCTGGGGGGGATGGGGTGGGGGTTGAGGTCCTCGGGGTGGGTGGAGGGTGAGTTTAGAGAGGAAGAGACAGCAGGGACAGAAGCCCTGAGGCAGGAGGGGTGACACATGTGACACCCAGGGCACCAGATGCCCTGAGGGCCTCAGGGAGGACCTGGTTCAGGGGCCAGCCTTGCCATCCAGAGCCCTGGGGTAGAGGGTCGCCTTGGGGCTGGGGTCCCTCCTGAAGGCCGGGAGGGAGAGGCAGAGGGCCGCGGAGAGGCCACCCAGGGCTTAGCCTGCACCGGCTGTCTCCCACCTCGGGGCCTCGACCTTGGTCCCCTCTGCCCCAGGAGCAGCTGGGCCCCCAGGCCCCCCAGCAACCCCCACAGGGCTGGCAGCAAGCTTGCAGCTGCTGGGATTCCAACGTGGCAGCTGCCGGAGGACCACTGGCTTCCGGGCAGCCCTCCTGGTGGATTTTTATCGTTTTTAGCCGTAGAGGGGGAGCAGCCTTACACGGTGCTGGGCCTGGGTCTACCGGGGACTCCGACCCAGGAGAGCACGATCCCCCTAGGACCGTACCCTGAGGCTCAGCCCCAGCCAGGCCCCATCCTTACCGCGGCCGGGGGTGGGGGGCCAGCCTGCTCATGATCCCCTTTCACAGGCCAGAAATGGAAATCAGAGGACGTGTGTCTTGGACACGCAAATGAGTGGCATTGAGATGCCAGGCCCGGAGCAGCTCCAGGTCCTGTGATGTGTTGGTGCTGGTGAGCACTTGCCGAGAAGCTCATAAGTCCTGGTGGAGCTGGACTGGCCGTGGGCCCTGGGCACGACCCCGCACGCCTCGGAGCCTCCTTTCCCCACCTGGGACGTGGGGCCCTGCCCCAGCCCTGCCCACACCCACCCGGTGTGAGGAGGGGGCGCCTGGCGAGCTCTGTGCCCTCCTGCAGGGGACTTGGCTTCTGTGCGCCTCTGTCTCCCCGTCTGCAAGGTTGGGGTCCCCTCCACCCCGAGAATCACAGCAGCAAGTCTGTGGGCTTTAGATCAGGCACTGGGTCCTAGGGGGGAGGGCAGCAGAGCCACCCAGGCCTGGTGCTCGCCCTGGAGGGGTGGGGGTTGCTAATGGGAAAGTGAATCAGCAAAGGATAGGCGTCTCTGTGGGGGGAGGATGGGGTCCGGAGGGCTTCTTGGAGGAAGTGGCTTCTGAGCCGAGTCTTCAGTGTATTACTTGCCTCATAGCCAGGGAGAAGGGCCTCCCAGGCAGAAGGGGCAGCGGGTGCGGAAGCACAGAGGTGTGGCGGCTGGCAGGTCCCCCCTCTGAGACTTCAGTGTATGATGCCCTGGAATGCGGGGAGGGGCCATTCCTGATGAGCCTTGAATGCCACGTCTGGGCCTTGGGCTGTATCTGCAGGGCAGCAGATGCCTCGCAAGACCCTGATCAGGGAAGTGGCTCGAGGTGGTGAGGAGGCCGGCTGGCGTCATCAGGTCCAGGCGCACAAAGAGGAGCCCTGGCTGGAAGGGAGGGCAGGGGTGGGGGTGATACAGGGGAGCTGCAAGAGGTAGACATGGGTCGGCCTTCAGGACCGACTTGCTTTGGAGGGTGAGGGAGAGTCAAGGAGGAGCTCTCCCCAGATGCCTGCAAGCCTCCTTCAGGCCAGATGCCAGGTCTACACAGGCAGGTCATGAACAACCAGCCCCGTGCCCTTGGGGTTTGTAGATAGTGATGGAAACAAGTTAAACCACACAGAAAAGTGTGGTTGCTCACCGCCAAGTGCTGGCAAGGCTGCCAGTGACGCGTGATCTAAAGGAAATAGATGACGGACGTGGGTGAGGACCAACCAGCAGAAAGGGCATGTGCCAAGGCCTTGTGGCTGGAGGCAGCTTCCCCAGGGGGGGCAGATAATACGAGCGTTCGGTGCTCAGGGATGCTGGGAGTCAGAGGCACCCAGGAGCCCGTGTCGGGCTTACGTTACAGGGTGGGACGGGTGATCTCAGGGTGCCCCTGGGAAGAGAGGGTTCAAGAACACAGGAAGGAGGGCAGAGTGTGTGCAGGCTCCCGAAGAGCACCTGTGGGGGAGGCTGGGGTTAGGGGTCGAGACAGGAGCAGAGGCCCTGGGAGGCTGGGGCTGGGGTTGAGACGGGAGCGGAGGCCCTGGGGATGTTGAGGCTGTGGGGTCGGGATGGGAGCGGAGGCCCTGAGGAGGCTGGGGCTAGGAGTCCAGACAGGAGTGGAGGCCCTGGGGAGGCTGGGGTAGGGGTCGAGACAGGAGCGGAGGCCCTGGAGATGTTGGGACTATGGGGTCAGGATGGGAGCGGAGGCCCTGGGGAGCACAGGGTCCCACGAGGACAGCCGGGCACCCGCTTCTGAGCAGACCCACATCTGTTCTCGAGCCGAGCAGCGTGGGCTCTTCCGGGGAGGGGAGGCCTCGAGCGTGGGCAGGGGTCTCGGGGCTCAGCGCCATCCCTTCTCCTGCCTGCAGCATCCACAACGGGGTCATCGCTGTCTTCCAGCGCAAGGGGCTGCCTGACCAGGAGCTCTTCAGCCTCAACGAAGGCGTCCGGTGAGTGGCCAGCGTCCCGTCGCGTCATGGGCCTGCGAGTGGTGGGGGAGGCAGCGCCTGGGTGGAGGCCACAGCCAGGCCCTGGTCTCCCCGGCCACACCCCAGTGGGCAGCGACCCCGACCGCAGGCCCTGGCCGCCCTTCACCCCCACCCATCCTGAGGACTTTCTTTTCAGGGGAAGCGGGGTGGGCCTTGGTCAGTGGCTCCAGATGACGCCCACATTCCCCGCGGGTGGCGAACATCACGAAGGATATTATTCTGTTAAAGAGGAAGGACCCACCTGCCTAATGACGGGAGTGTTGTTCCCGGAAGGGCAGTTCCAGCCCAGCCGAATGCCCCTCATTTCCTGTGGGTGGCCAGGCGGTGAGCACTGCTGAGGGAGCCCGGGACAGACCGGCCCCTCCGAGCTGACCGTGTGAGCGTAGCACCATCCACCCCGGGGAAGAGGTCTGCAAGGCCAGCGCTGTCAGCCCTGCTTCATCGTGTAGGAGGTGATGCTCAGAGGGGTCAGGACACTTGCCCAGGGTCACACAGCTCCCCCGAGGAGGGATTTCCTACCCCCGTGCCGTCTCCTTCCCTCCCCGGCCCGTGCTGGTCCCCATGGCAGTATGGGGAGAGGAGCTCCTCATCAGCTCAAGAGGGGGAGAAAAGCATCATTGGGACAGGGACCATTTCCATACAGGGCACCGCTGCCCAGTGTAGCGGAGCGGAAGGGGCCTTTACAGACAGGTAAACTGAGGCCCGGGTGGGGGAAGGGGCAGCTGGAGTCACAGAGCAGGAGCTCGTTGCCTCTCCCAGGGCCCCTACACGCGACCCATCAGGGGACCCTGCTTTTCTGGGGGCTCATCTGGGCCACCCAGGGCCGGCCCCAGGATCCTCATTGTCCTCAAATGCGTCCACTGAGGGAGACAGGAGTTCGTGGCAAACCTGGGGAATCTGCTGGATGTGTAAACAAAAAGGAGGGAGACCACTTCCCAAATTCACAAACAAAGCAGCCAGCGTGTGTCCCATTCTCCCCACCCCCACGTCTGAAACGGTGGTCACGACCGTCTGGCTCTCAGCTGTCTCCCCCTCCAGGTGGTGAGCCCCCATCCCCAGCCCTGGGGGGCGAGCACAGAGCGGCGGCCTCCCTCGGGGGGGTGTGCTGGGGAGCTGGGGGGTACAGAGGCTCCCCTCTCCAGCCCCAGAACCCTCCCCCAAGGGGCAGGCGGCAGCCAGGCACGACGGGAGGCGTGGAGCTCCTGGCCCGTGGCTGTCCGGGGAGCGCGTCTCTAACCCCCGCAAACCTTCCATGCGGGGCGTCCTTAACTCACTATGCTCACAACACTTCCGTCAAGGGTTTGCTGGCGAGCTTCCCACGCCTTCGGCCCTGAGCAGTGGAGACCTGATTGTCGCCGTTTTACAGGTGGGGGAACTGAGGCAGAGACGGCATGTCGCTTGGGTTCCCAGGCTGGTCAGTGGAGCTGGGACTCGGGTCCCTGACCCTGGGGCCCATGGGTCCCTTGGGACTGCCCCTTGCCCTTCTCCAGCGCGTGGCCACGTTCCATCAAGTGCATTTAATTACACGTGATGTCATCAGTCATCAGCCTTGATCCCACGAGAGGGCCCCGTGACCAGAGCCATTGATGCTGTCACCGCACATTCCCCTCTGTTCTCGCGGGTGGGTGGGCAGGTTGGTGTGGGTGCTCCTTGGCTGTGCCCGGGAAAGACTAAATAAATCCAGGGGAGGTGAATAGTCACAGGACCCTGGTGTCTGGCCGTCACCCTCCCTCTCCATATTTTTTTTTAAGATTTTATTTATTCATGAGACACACAGAGAGAGGCAGAGACACAGGCAGAGGGAGAAGCAGGCTCCATGCAGGGAGCCCAATGTGGGACTCGATCCCAGGACTCCAGGATCATGCCCCAGGCCGAAGACAGGCGCCCAACTGCTAAGCAACGGGGTGTCCCTGTGCCATACTTCATTCCCTCTTGTGGCCAAATAACATTCCACGCAAGGGACACCGCCTTTCGTCGTTCCATTCACCTAGTGGTAGATACCTGGGCCCCTGCTGCCCCCTGGGGCTGTAACGCAGGCGTGGCCATGAACGTGCAGGGTGGGGCTGTGTGTGGTCGGTGGCTTCCTTTCTCTGGGTGACCCAGGATGGGATGGGTGCCCCGCGGCGGCCGGCCGCGCCGGCGTCTCTTCCCGCCAGCAGCGTCTGAGTGGCCAGTCCTCTGCCTTCTTACCGGCACTTGTTACTTCTGGGCGTTTGTATTCTACTTGTGGGTGTGAAGTGCTGGCTTGTGGTTTGGGTTTGCATTTCCCCTATGACGAATGACAGGAACATCTCAGAAGCCCATTGGCCACCCGTTTTTTGGGGGGAAACGTCCGCTTGGCCCATTTGTAAATCGGGTGATATGTCTTCCTATTGTTGAGTTGCGGGAGCTCTTTATATGTTGTGGATCTGGACCCTTACTGGGCTCTCGCCCCCGTGGGGGCTGTCTTCTCACGTCCCAGGTGGTGGTCTCTAAAGCGTGCAGGGTGGATTTGGGTGACATCCAGGCTGCTGATCCAGCCTCTCTCTTGACCCTTTTATTCCTTTGATCACCTTCTCCTGAGGCCCCGGAACAGACACACTTTGCAAAATAGTTTCTCCAGACAGAGACTAAGTCCCTCTGGGTTGCAGAGGACACGTCTTTCTGCCGCGTCTCGGACGGCATTGCCCCCGAAGGACTCCTCGCACACCCCACCCTCAGAATCAGGCCGCAGGTGCCTGGTTGTGCTCAGCTGTGAAAGGCCCGTGGCCCAGGCTGCTCTGCGTTCCGAGCCTGTCCTGACTCTGCCACTGCAGACACACCCGGGTGTCTGCCTGGGGTGGCCTCTCCTGCAGCATTCGGGCAGCTCCTGGTCTGCCTGGGGCCCGAGAGGCGAGTGAGCCCCAGGGCAGGACCTTGGCCACCTGCTGTGCCCTAAGGCCCCTCCTGCTGCCCCCTGGGCTTCTGGCTGGGGTGCAGATCGGCTGCCCTGCCCCTGCCGCTGCCCCTGCCCCTACCGCTGCCCCTACCCCTGCCCGTGCGCTGCCCCTGCCTCTACCCCTGCCGCTGCCCCCGCAGACCTGTCTGGACAGGGTGGTGTCTGGGTGCGTAGGCTGCCTGGAGGCTCCCCTAAGGGTGTGGGTGCAGTGCGACCAGCAGGACCCACAGGGACCTCACCACTTGGCCCTGGGGCCTCAGTTTGCACATCTGTGGAATGAGCTCGGTTTCCCTCATCTGCAGCTGGGAGAGCTGGTGGGCAGAGCACAAATGGGAGTGCTCGGCTACCCATGCCCCTCGCCCCTGCTCAGGGGCACACGTAGTGGGGAGCTCGGGGCAGCCAGCAGTGGGACAGAGGGTCTGCTTGGCCCTAAAGGAGACATTCATTCATTCATTCATTCATGCTCATACTCACTTCGACTGACTGGGCCAGGGAGCGGGTGAGGAGGGCTTTACTGAGCACCTGCTGTATACACCAAGGATTAGCCATGGTCTCCCTTGACACCACGCAGGGGAGGGGACTTACCCGGCCTTGCCCAGCCTCGCACGGTGCACTGGCAGCATGGGGGTGCTGACCCCTGATGCACAGAGGGGACTCACCCAGGCTCAGTCTTGGGCCTAAAAGATGATCTTCCCTCCTTGCCCTTTGCTCCAGAAGCCACTCCCTCTGTTCTTGCCCAGAGTGGCCCCTTGTGTCACGTGGAGACCTTGAGATAGATACTGAGCCTGGACACGGGGTCATGACAGGAGCTCAGGTCACATTTTATCCTTGGAAGCCCTGACTTGGGAGAAGGTGGAGGGACGGTGGCTGGGGGCCGACCACGGGGTCACTGGCTTCACACAGAGCAGCACTCCACCCCCTGCTGTCTCGGTGGGGCTCAGCCCGGTGAACATCATCCCCGTTAACCTCACCGTTACATGAGGACTGCGTCGGGCAGTGACCTGACATTGGTCCTGTGCTAAGAGAAGCCACAGGGCAGGGGTGCGGGACGGGGCCCCGGGGCTGCCTCCAGACAGCTGCAGGTGCACTGACCCTTGGGGTCCTTACGCGTCCCACCAGGGACACAGGTACCACCCGTCGAGCTGTCGAGAGCTCCGGTCCGTGACCGGCCTGGCATGGCTGTGGCCCCTCCTTGTGCTTCCGCACCTTCCAGATTCTGCCCGAAGCCCCCAGCTCCAGGGGTGACTGCTGGTCAGCTGCTGGGGTGCTAGTTACCTCACGCGAACCACCTGCCCTCTGGGCTACACTTACCCCCGCCCCTACCCCCTGGGGGACAGCCAGTCCTGGGGGGTCCCCACTTTCAGGAAAGTAAAGCATTGCAGCCCCTAAAGGCCTTTGAGGACCAGAGCAGCCACAGAGTGGGTATGGGGGGGAGGTGAGTTCCGTCCCCTGCGTGCACACAGCTCCAAGGGGGAGGGAGAGGACAGGTGGGCCTAACGTTGACAGCGCCCAAGCATTTCAGGCTGTGCTGGGTCTGGGCCAGGACGCCCGCCGTTCCCTCAGCCCCCAGAGGTGTGCAGCACAGAGCTGTCAACGTTGAATACGAAGAACAAGAGTCAGAGCCCAGCTCGGTGTGTCCTGTGTGGCCCTGGATGAGTCACTTGACCTCTCTGAGCCTGCTGAGGGTGGAGCACGGGAGGAGCCGCGTGAAGATGCCCTGGGGAGGACGACCGGGAGGATGGAGGGGAAGGGGCTGTGCAGCGGCTGCAGGAGGAGGGATAGAGCTGAGGGGCTGGAGCCCCACGTCTGCCTGTGTCCCCCGAGAACATAACAGGTGCCCATGGCCCCCACTCTGCCTTTGGGGAGCCTCCAGCTGCCTCTTGTGTGAAATGGTGGCAGGTGCCCGAGAGCCTGGGGCGAGCCGCACAGAGGCCCGTGGCGTGGGGACAGGTGGGGTGTGTCCCCCACCCCATGCCGCGCAGGCTCCGAGCCCTGCTGTCCCTCACTCCCGTGTCCCCTCCGGCCCACAGGCAGCTGCTGAAGACAGAGCTGGGATCTTTCTTCACGGAGTACCTGCAGGTGGGTGGTCTGCTCTCCGCGGGGCTGGGGCTGCTTTCCGAGCTGGCCAGAAAGGGCGGGGGTCACCTGTTCCTAGTGGGTACCAGGACCACCTCACCACCATGACTCAGTTTCCCCGTCTAGCCCACGTGGAGCATCGTGAAGGTTAATAACAATCCAGGTGAAGTCTTTGTGCCATGCGTGCCCTGGCACATGGCAGACACGGGGTTGGTTTTCTTTTCTCTCTCTCTCTCTGTCTCTCTCTTTTTTTTTTTTTTTTTAGTAAAGATTTTATTTATTCACGAGAGGTACAGAGAGAGAGGCAGAGACATGGGCAGAGGGAGAAGCAGGCTCCCTGTGGGGACCCCGATGCGGGGACTCAATCCTGGGACTCCAGGATCATGCCCTGGGCCGAAGGCAGGGCCTCAGCCACTGAGCCACCCAGGTGACCCTGGGGATGGTTTTCTGACAGGTCGTTCATCTCCTGGCATAGCAGGGTGGGCTCTCGAGCATCCACGTTTGGGTCACCGCATGGCCCCAGTACCCTGAGCTCACACGGTGATGCTGTTGGGCTGGCATCAGCACCACGAGGCCCCCAGTCCCCAGGTTGTGCCATACTTGACACTTGTCACGGCTCCTCTGGTCCAAAGCCCGCAGAGCCCGTGAAATCCTGGAGCTGCCTGCCCGGCTCACACCACCTGCCTGGGGTGGGCTCCAAGTGCAAGGCCTCACTTCATGCAGCTGTAGGGTTGGTTCTTCAGCATGACAGGTTTATCACGGGGTGACACTCGTGCAGCGCCCATTTCGAGTATACAGTTAGTGACATTCAGGGTGCTAACCCCACTGATTCCAGAACCTACTACCCGCCCCCAGCAGCAGCCCCACATTTCCAAGCCGCCCCCCTTCGCCACTCCCCACGGTCCCCGGCGGCTACCATCCACTCCCTGTGTCCGAGCGTTCCCCTTCAGGACGCTTCAGATGAGTGGCCGTGACGCTGGGGCGATGTGACAGCGGGAACCTGGCACGTTGGGCCTCAAGTCCCCGATGTGGTTGCCAGGCCAGGATGTCCGGCCTGCAGCCCGCCTGCATGGAGGGCCTTCCTTCATGGTGGGACGTGAAGGTGGCCACCTGCCCTGCGCAGCGGGCCTCTGGGGGTTCGCTGTGCTCCCAGGGTGAGCTGGGGGGCAGCAGGCACAGCTGAGTCCCTGCCCCCTGGGCCTTGGCTGCCAGCTGGGGGGCTCCTGGGGGCCTTGCCTGTCCCCAGCAGCCCCGGGGCGGTAACGGCACCCCATGCATGCTTTCCAGAACCAGCTGCTGACGAAAGGCATGGTGATTCTGCGGGACAAGATCCGCTTCTATGAGGGTGAGTCTGGTGGCCCCGCAGCTGGGACCGAGTGTGGGCCGCGCTGCTGCTGGGAAGCTTGACCTGTGGCCCCAGGGCTCAGGGTGGGGGGCAGCAGGGCAGCCAGGCCAGGATCTGACCCTAGGAGGGAACCTTATTGGGAAGAGCATCCCCCCTCCCGCACCCCTGCAATAGAGCCCAGGAGGGCTGAGATATCGGGTGGAGGCCCTGCCTCCCCTCACTGCCCCGGGGCCTCTGGCGCCTGAACCCCATCCCGGCAGCATCTCCGGGGACCTCGAAGCCTGTGCTGAGGCCTGTTCCGTGCGAGGCCCCGTGCTGAGCTCAGGCTCCACCAGCGTCTGTTGAGTGTCTTCTCTGCACCAGGCACTTGCTCGCTCTGTGCTCCACCGTCCTGGGTGTTGGCCAGCTGCTGACTCCTTGGATCCCCAACATCTGGGCCAAGGAGATAGCATCACTGTAGCCACTGCACATACAGGGAAATTGAGGCACCAGCCTGGTTCTACTACTGCTTCAGGTTCTTCCTTGAGTTTACTTGGATCCTAGGGCGAAGGGGTGGTGGCCCACAGCACAGAGGAGGACCCCCTGGCCAGCAGAGGAACTCAGGGCAGCATGTCCCCTGCTTCCTACACCCCTCCTTGTATCGGGCGGAGGCTCGGAGACAGGAGCCTGGGAGGGGAGGGAGAGGCCCAGGCTGGCTTCCTGGAGGAGGCGGCGGCTCAGCCAGCAGGGCAGGGTGGTGAGGCTCTGGCACCTGGTGGAGACGCCCTCCCACGCCCCTCTCCTTACTTGGCACATTCCAGAAGTGCCTGTGCCACCCACCAGCTCCGGCCCAGGGGAGCCAGGATCTTCAGAGAAGAGAAGCTTTGTGCAGCTCAGGAGAGCCCGCCTGCAGCGGCTGTGTCAGCCAGGCCACCAGCGGGGAGTGCCGGCGCCGTCTAGCCTCCCCAGGCCTCAGGGATGGGCACGGAGCCCCAATCTGGGGGCCACAGGGCCTGGCCTGCCCTTGCCCTCCCGCCACAGGCCTGAGCCTCAGCGTCCCCATCCCAGCGCTGTGGGGTTGGACGGGCTCCACCCGCGTGCTCACTACGGGTCAGGCCCCAGGTAGCCTCTGGGGGCTCGGAGATGGAGGAGATCCAGGCCTGCCTGGCAGGGACCGATGGCCCAGCTAGGGACACAGATGTGGGCCAGACGGTGACAGTTCAGCGTGCCGAACGTCAGGCTGAAGGGAGGGCCCGGGGAGGGAAAGGTTAGCTCCGTCTTGGCAGTCAGGGAGGACTACACGGAAATGGTGGCCCTCGAGCCAGGCCTCAAAATGCGGTCAGTTCAGGAGGAAGTTTGGCCCCCCTCAGTCCATGCCATGGGGACATAGCCAGCACCACACCCCAAGGGGTGGGCTTTGGAGCCTGCCCCATCCACCTCCTGCCCCGGTGTGGCTCCCAGGGCAGCTCTCGAGACGATTCCCTGTGGCCAGCAGTGTCCTCAACGGTGCCTCTGCTGGAGGGCGACGGGGGGCCTTGTGGGCAGCCCCAGGACCTTGCCGCCTACCCCGCTCCAGCCTCCACCCAGGCCTTGGACGTCAGCTCCCGGGCCCAGTGATTCCTGGAAATGGGAGACCTGGAGTCTCCCTCCGGGGCTGCATGTGGTTCCGTGGTCTTGGAGTGTGGCTCACAGGAGTGGGCTCCGGCTGCCGCCAGGATGGCTCCTCGGTTGTCAGATGCTCCAGGACTCTGGGGAGGAGCTCGGGGGCTCCTGCAGGCTCCAGGCCCTAGGCCCGGGCCTCCCTCGTCCCGCAGGAATCCCAGCCTATTGTAGGCCATTTGGCCAAACCGCACAGTGGCCACGGCCCTAACTCCCCCGGGCCATCCTCCTGGCCGCCTGGCCTCCTCGGAGCCCCCGCTGCAGCCTTTTCTGCTGCCTTGTGGTCATCACAGGGCTGAGACCGGAGCCAAGATCAGCCTGGTGCCCTCCGGCCTCCCGGGCTGATCAAGGGAGACGGATGAGAACCTGGCTTCTGCTGAGCTTCAGCACGGACGCGGCCCAGCTGCGCCCACCGGTGGCCGTGCCTGTGGCCTGCTCTCCGCGAACCTGCCGCCCTTGCCGGTCATCACGCCCGTCGTCAGAGGATCACACACTGAGGCTCCAGTCGCAGGACTCCCCTGGGGTCCTCCAGCGAGCAGAGAGGGCTCCAGCACTGTGCCGCCTGAAACTGTAACCCCCCCCAGCCCTGCCGCCCCTAGACTTCAGCCCGGCGGGAGCCCGCAGCCAGTGGGCGAGGCCGTGCTTCCCGGCCTCTCGGTCAGCGTGCGGCTCTGACGGGGCCTGGCGTCCGTGTTTGACAACATGTGCTTTCCGCAGCGTTTCCACCCCGCGGCCTGGCCCATGCCCAGAGCTACCCCACGGCCGGCCCCGGGAACTGAGCCACCTTTCTTCTTGCCAGGGGTGGCAGGGACCTGAAGGGACCTTTGTACGGGCAGAGCTCCGCGGGCAGCGGCCCCACCCCTCCCGGGTTCTGCGGAGCTAGGTGCGGGCCCCGGGACTGGCTGCTGCCCCAGAGCCCCGGTGCCAGCGGATGGGCCATGCACGGAGGCCCCGCCACTGTCGGATGGGCTGCCTGGGGTGCCCCCTGGGCCCCGTGGAGCCCCCGCAGCCCCACAGATCTGGGCCTTTGTGGATGGAAGGTGTGGGGCCCAGAGCCCAAAGAAAGTAAGACAGGAGGTGAAGGCCTCTGTCTGCCCCCCCGGGTCCCTTGGGAGCCTCGAGAGTGTTCCCCTCAAGCAGTACTTGGGGAGGCAGCCAGCCTGTGGCACTTCACCCCCCTCACCCAGAGACACCCCTGCACCCCCTTTTATCCAGCCGGTCACTAGCCTGGCTCCGGGGGGGGGGGTGTCCCACCTCGCAGCAGGGGCCTTGGTGGCACGAGCCGGGACCTGCTTATCCCAGACCCAGCAGGGCTTCATCCCTGCTGGGAGGGCCCAGGCTTCAGGGCCCAGGCTTTCCGCACTTTGTGTTTCCTGGGGGAGCCCAGAGCCAGCCTGTGTCCTCCTCCCTCGGGGGCTGCACAGGCACCCAGAGCTTGACCAAAGGCCTGCCCTCCACACATCTGCTTGTGCGGCTCCCATCCTGAGGGTGTCCAACCTGGCAAACCCAGCCGCCTCCATCAGTTTGGATGGCACCTACTCCAGGAAGCCCTCCCTGCCTCATCCTCTTCACTTGTCTGCTTTTGCCCTACCTGGGACATGCTGTTCTTGGACGCCATCTCCCTGGCCCCCCAGATCCCACCTCGGGCAGCCCAGGGTGACAGGGACCAGGGCCCTGGAGGAAAAAGACCTGAATCTCAGAGGCTCTGTCTTTTCCTCTGCCCACTGAGGTCACCCCTTCCTTCCACGGGCAGACAACGCCATTCGAGGTCCTGCTTCCCCATCCTGTGACAGGTCCCTGGTGCCCAGCGTTGGTGCTCTGTAAACATTGGTGTGGGCAGATGGACTCCCCACCTGCTGGGGGGGGTCACATGGGACTCGGGGGGAGGGGAGCCTCCAGCCAGTGCTAGCCAGTGCCGCCTCCACCCTGGGCCCCGTCACGGGGACCCCGTCACAGCTCACCTCATCCCCACGGCCCTGGGAAGTTGGCCCCTGCACTGTCCTGCTTTATTGACAGGGAAACTGAGGCACAGGGAGGCCACACAGCGGACCCCAGGCCACAGGGCTGCCAAGTGCTGGGGGTGGGGGGCCTTCCAAGGCCCGGAGCCCGGCCCGCAGCTCCTGTGTCCTCCTGCACATGGGAGAGAGGACGGGGTAGGGGCGGTAGCAGCGACGGCTGCCTGTGCCCACAGGACAGAAACTGCTGGACTCGCTGGCAGAGACCTGGGATTTTTTCTTCAGTGACGTGCTGCCCACGCTGCAGGCCATCTTCTACCCAGTGCAGGTGAGGGGCCCCCAGCTGCGGGATACCCGGGACCCAGGTCACGGCCCAACCTGGTCACGGGCATGTCCCTGGGCGTCCCAGAACGAGTTTCCCGCCCACAATTGGGAAATAAGGACAGTCCCCTGGTACAGGCACGTAAAGCCTTGAGCAGTGCGTGGTAGGCCCTGCCCGGCACACAGTAGGGCCTCGGCGTGGGGCAGGAGCCTCCCCTCAGGACCGGGGCTGTCCAGGGAGCGGGACGAGGTGGAATGGGGTCCCCGAGGGTCAGTGGGGCCCGGATCCGTGGATGCGGGTGGAGGCAGGGGTCTCCTGACGGCAGCGGGGCGGGGGACGCGGCACTCTGTCTGCAGGGCAAGGAGCCGTCGGTGCGCCAGCTGGCCCTGCTGCACTTCCGGAACACCATCACCCTGAGCGTGAAGCTGGAGGACGCGCTGGCCCGCACCCATGCCCGCGTGCCCCCCGCCATCGTCCAGATGCTGCTGGTGCTGCAGGTGGGTGGGGGCCCGCGGAGGCGCGTCTCCGGGCACCAGGCCAGGCCCCCCAGAGGCAGAGCCTGAGACTCATTCAGGTCCACGTGGCACATCCGTGGGGATGCTTCTCAGGAAAACCCTGTGAGGGGAGAGGGAAGCAGGAGGAGCCCGGGAGGTGCTGGGGGAAGGTGAGCGTTCAGGACAGGCCTGGCCTCTGCCTGGTTCCCTGGGGAGCCTGGGGTGTCCCTCATGGGCAGGGGCTGCCGTGCCTTCACGCCCCTCCCCAGTCCGTCGTCGGGGCTGTTGGCCGCCTCTCCACGGTGGTTCCAGAGGTTTCTGTGCAAGTGGCTCTCGCCCACCAGGGCAGCTTCAGGAAGGTGGCAGCCGCAAGGTGTTGGCGGCCACCCTCCAGCCCCTGGGAGTGAGTGGCCCGCCCGAGACTGCAGAGGGGCTGACAGGCCACCAGCCTGTGCCGCAAACACGGCTTTTTGCGAACGGCCGCATCTCCGGTCCCGTGATGGGCACAGTGTCCCACGGTTACCACACTGTGGCGGGACAAGGTTAGGGACCGTCAGCCGCCCCATGGTACAGGCGGGGTGTAGAGTCCTCGTCCATCCAGGGCTGATGAGGCCTGTCCTCGCCTGTGTCTGACGGGCTCCAGAGTCCTGGTCAGTGTTCTGTATCCCCCCAGCATGTGGGTGCCCTTCTAAAGTAGGGTCTGCGAGGCTGGTCTGGGGTCAGGGGCAGCCAGTGAAGGTTCCAGAGCAGGGAAGGGCTGAAGAATGTGGAGGTCTAGGGGTCGATGGACTGTACTGGGTGGGAGCTGGTACCGGGCCTGCCACAGATTTGGAAGGATTTTCGGGGCCCCTGGCTGGGTGGAAATGGGACCTCAGGACAGTGTGTCTCAGCCTCTTTCCTCACCTGTGCGACAGTGAAACTGCCTGCCTGCAGGGCACATTCCAGCACTAAGGGGGTTAAACCCGGTGTAAAGCCTCTGGTGGTGCTTCTGGGAACCCAGTGGCTGGACCGAGATTTAGAGCCAGGAAGGGGGTCCCACCTTGATCCCAAGAACACAGGTAGGTGGGGGCCAGGCTGGGGCAGTGCCGCCCCCTGGTGGCCTCTCTGCCTCACACAGCTTCCCAGGCTTGGCCCTGTGGCCTCCAGGACTTGCCCTCCTGCCCCCACCCCCTACCCTGTGGGTACAGCCCTGGCCGCGTGCCTGTGCTGTTGCCCCACTCCCCGCCTGGCCTGCGCGTTGAAGGAGCTTGTCTCATGCCCCCAGTGCCCTTGTCCCCACTGCTTTCCCGTCCCAAATGAATCTAACGTCACAGCTGCTGGTGAGCATGTGCTGGGGACCAATTGTGCTCCCTGTGCTTCTCCAGCAGAGTGACCGTTCTCCTTCCCAGGCCCCAGGGCAGCAACTGTGCATCGGAGTGCCTGCCAGGCATGCAGCCCCTGGTCCCCCATTCTCTCCCTGTGCACCCGGGGGCAGAGACAGACAGCCTTTGTAGGTCTCAGGAGTGAAGCAGTGTGAAGCTCACGGAACGGCCCAGCTGAGCGGAAGCATTGTGGTCATCCTTGCCACTGTTGCTGGGGGTAGAGGGGGCTCCAGGGAACATGGGGTCCTTCATGGCAACCTAGAACCCCACTGCCCAGACCTCTGGGGTCTGTAGTGATGGCTCCTCTTTCGTTCCTGCTGTTAGGGATTCACATCCTCTGTTTTAGTCAGCCTGGCTGGAGGCTTAGAGATGTTGCTGGTCTTTCCAAGTTGCAGCTTGGGGTTGCGTTGATTATCTCTAAGGCTTTCCTGTCTTCAGCTCGCTGACTTCTACTCTTATTATATTTGTTCTGCTTTCTTCGAACTTTGTTTGCTCTTCCTTTTTTTAGTCTCCTGAAATAGAAGCTTAGATTATTGGCTTTCGGCTTTCTCTGTCCTAGTATATTCATTTGATGCTACAGCTTCCCTCAGGGCACGGCCTCCAGTGCATTCACTGTGTTTTCATCTTCATTTCACCCAAAACATTTTATTTATTCATGAGAGATACACAGAGAGAGGCAGAGACAGGCAGAGGGGAAGCAGGCTCCATGCAGGGAGCCCGATGTGGGACTCGATCCTGGGTCTCCAGGATCAGGCCCCGGGCCGAAGGCAGGTGCTCAGCCGCTGAGCCACCCGGGCATCCCTCACCAGAAACATTTTAGTTGTTAAGATTTCTTCTTCAACCCATGGGTTATTTCAAAGCAAGTCAGTTGTTTCATCTGCACGTATTTGGGGATCTCCTGGTTGTCTTCCTGTTCTGAGTCCTGGCTTCATGCTCCTGTGGTCTGAAAGCAGGCACTGTAGGATTTTGGTCCTTGTCGATGTGTGAAGGTGTATCTCATGGCCCCGAACGTGGCCGGACCTGGCAGGTGTCCCACGAGAGCTGCGGACAGGTGTTCTGCCGTCGTCGGGGGAAAGCAGTCTGTTGGTGATGAGATCCAGTCGATTGGGGGTAGCATTGAGTTCCACGTGTCCTTCCCGAGTTTCTGCCCACTGGTCTGTCTCCGTGCAGGGTTGAGGTCCCCCACCATGAGTGGATTCACAGCCCCTCCCGTGGCTCTAGCAGTTTGCCTCACCTGGTCGGACGCTCTGTTATTAGGTGCAGGCACCTTAGGGGTTGTCACGCCATCCCAGAGAGTTGACCTTTGTATCATTATGTCATGACTTTCGTGACTCCTGATGACGCTCCTTGGGCCAGAGTCCACCCTGTCTGAAGTAACTTGGCTGCTCCTGCCCTCCTGAGACTGGCATTGGTGTGGCACGGCTCTCAACCCTCTGCTTCTATTTATTTTTATTTTTTTAGAGAAAGAGAGAACCCTAAGCAGGCTCCCTGCCCTGCACGGAGCCCAATGAGGGGCTTGATCCCATGACGCTGAGATCGTGACCTGAGCCAAAATCAGAATTCGAACCCTTCACTGAAGGAGCCCTCCAGGCACCCCTCACCCCTTTACATTTAGTCTGTGGGTTTCTCGTAGGCGGTGTGGCCGTCTGTAGCTGTCATCTGACGTCCTAAGGGTATCATATGCTGTGAGCCAGCAGCACCTCCCTGGGGAGGGATGTTGTCCCCTCATTCCTTCAGACAGTGACTCCGTGAGCACTCACTGGAGCCCGACTGTGCCAGCCCTCTGCTGGGGATGCTGGGGCACCAGCTTGCACCCCGTCAGCAACACCCAGGCTGTCCTCTGGGCGGCTGCCTTCCTCGGGCTCTGGCTCTGATGGAACTGGAGGAGGTGGGGCTCCCTTCAGAGCTCGGATGAGGGGGGTCAGGGAGGAGGTGGACAGCTGGCAGAGCCGGGCGGCAGTGTGGAGAGGATGGGGGGCAACCTCCCTGGGGCAAGGAGCAGGGGCCCCCAGGACTGTGCTGCTGTTGCTCAGTGAGGTCAGCTGCTGCGTCCCCCAGGATTGCCCGGAGCCTCTGGGAGGCCAGTGCGTGGCTTTGGGGTTGGGGTTGGGGTTGGGGGGCTCTCTTCCGAAGGGCAGAGTACAGGTTTCTCAACCTGGTGTGGCCACAGGATGTCACAATCTTTCAGGCCACTCCAGCTGCCATGTGCAGAGGGCAGACTCGAGGGTGTCAAAGCAGGGAGGGACAGACACCCCGACTCAAGAGGGCTGGGAAGGGAGGTCACCACGGGCTCGGGTGGGGGCCAGAAACCCGGGGGTCTGGCTGTTGGTGGTGACTGTTGAGCTCAGTCTGACTGGGCCGGGCAGGTGGGGAACAGGCTGTCCGGCAACCACCCGCCTCCCTCCCTCTCTTGCAGGGGGTGCACGAGTCCCGGGGCGTGACCAAGGACTACTTGCGGCTGGAGACGCTGATCCAGAAGGTGGTGTCACCCTACCTGGGCACCTACGGCCTCTATTCCAGCGAGGGCCCCTTCACACATTCCTGCATCCTGGGTAGGGCTTGACTGGGCCGTGGGTGGGGAGCTGGGTAACCTCTGGCCCCATCCACCGCTGCCCGGGCCCCCCAGGGAATCTGGCCATCCAGGCCCCCCAGGGAATAGACGGCCAGAACCAGATCCCACTGGGAATGGGCTTTTCTGTCAGGCACAGACCGGTCCCGAGCATTCACCAGCCCTGCTGTGTGCAGGGACCTGGTGGGCCGGCGCCACACACGGTGACGTGATGACTCCCCTAGAGCCCGGCAGAGGCTTCTGTGTTCCCAGTGAGGTCCCATCCGAGTTCAGTCCTGAAAGTCAAGAGTTGGCCAGCAGAGGGCACAAGCATGTGCAAAGGCCCAGAGCCCAAGGAACCCAGCTTGTTTGGGGATCGCAGGGGTGGGGCTGCCTGGCCTGAAGGGCAGAAGCCAGCCACGTGGCTCCTTTAACAGACGCCCCATTGGTTCATTGGGCTCAGTAAATAGTGTCTGCTGTGCCCCGGCCCCTGTTCTTGGCCCTGGGGGGTCTGCAGAGACCAAGCCCCAGCCACGTGGGCTCTCACCACCAGGGACCAAGCAGATGAGAGTCCATACCCGGGTGATGGGGGGGCCAGGGTGGGAAGCCCAGGGAAGCCCCTCCCCTGCCGGAAGTGACCTGTGAGCTGAAGGAAGGGGAGCCAGGCTGGAGAGAGGTGCATGAAAGCGTGGTGGACGGGGCTCCTTGGGAGTGCCCCGCGTGCACAGGGGCTCCTTGGGAGTGCCCACTGGCTGCTGGCGGGGAGCACCTGTCTCCTGCCCTAGAAAGGGCCCTGAGCTGCTCACCGTGCTCAGTCCTGCCGCATGGTGGCCGCTCCATGGAGCTGGGGACCCCGAGTGGGAGCCTGAGATCCTGGCCCCCTCCCAGGCCCAGCCACCATCTCCTGCCCTCTGGGGCACCCAGCACACTCCAAATAAAACCCCAGTCCCAGCCTCACGTGAGAAGACCCTTTGTCATCCTGCCCCCACCCCCCATCCCAGCACTCACCACTACCTGGCTTGTGGGCACCCATGTGGGTTTGTCGTCCTCCCCACATACACACGCCAGACTCCAGGTCTGACGCAGGAGGAGCTGTGTCTGCCTGGGAAAGCACTGGCACATAGGAAGTGCTGAGATCTTTGACTTTCCACAGGCGGGGAAACTGAGGCACATGCACATTTGAACCAAGCAGTTGACTTGAGCCCCCCCACCCAGCTCCTGCCCATCCAGGGGAACAAAGAAGTGATATGAGGATAGACCCAATGTCAGAGCTGGGGTGGGGACCCGCGTGCCTCTCCCTCACTCTCTGAGCTGCCCCAACAGGAGTGGTGGACAGGGACTGGGTCAAGGATCCACACCAATTTGGCTTTTCCCCGTGGCTGTCCTTTCGTGCAGAGCTAAGCACACAGGAGGTGCTGGCTGGCCTCTGGGCCCAGGAAGGGCCTGGAACACACGGGTGCCTGGGTTTGCCAAGTGGCTGCTGCCCACCCGGCCCCTGGCCTCCTGGGCCTAACACCTTGTCTGTCTGTCTCTGCAGAGAAGCACTTCCTGCGCCGCTCCCGCTCAGGGGACGTTCTGGCCAAGAACCCCGTGGTGCGCTCCAAGAGCTACAACACCCCGCTGCTGAACCCCGTGGTGGAGCACGAGGCCGAGGGTGCAGCAGCCGGTGGCCCTGGCATCCGCAGGCACTCGGTCTCGGAGATGACGTCCTGCCCCGAGCCCCAGGGCTTCTCCGACTCGCCTGGCCAGGGCCCCGCCGGGGCCTTCAGACCATCTCCGGTGCCCCAGTCCGGGCCGTGCCCCAGCAGACTGTACCCCCCCAGCCAGCCCCCCGAGCCTGGACCAGGCATGGCCCATGGCTCCCCGCCCTCCTCCAGTCCAGAGAACCTGGTGGACCAGATCCTGGAATCCGTGGACTCCGATTCAGAAGGGATCTTCATTGACTTTGGCCGGGCCCGTGGCTCTGGCGCATCGGAGTTCAAAGGGGCTGGGGGTCGGCAGAGCATTGTGTGAGGGCCCCGAGTTTTTACTGCCCCCGTGTGTGTGCCTGTGGGGTGCATGTGTGCAAGAGGTTTTTTTACTCTTTCCTGTGGGCGCCAGCCACTTTGCCATTTCCTGAGTTTCTGTTGGAAAAACCACCACCACCCCAGCCCCCAGCCCCGCTCCGTGCTGGGGCCTCTTGGCTGCTCCACCTGCCTCACAGGTCACCAGGTCCGCTGGGCAGCCGTGTGTGCATGGAACAGACATTGCCACCACCCCCAGCCTGCCCCGGCCCGCCAGTGTCCACCCCCGTGGACACCAAACCCTGTGGCTCAGCCAGGCCTCCAGAATGATCCCCAGAGCAATGGGGGTCGGTCACAGACCTGCCTAACCCCCTTCCCGTTGGCCTCAGGCCACAACGGGACCTATGTGTGCCTGTCCCAGACCCTCAAGCCCCGTCCTTGCTCTGCCCGGGGCGGCTGGCCGTGGGCAGGAAGAGGATGGAATAAAACCTGTCTGCCCCGATCCCGAGCTCATGTCTGTGATGCCAGGCCCCACACCTCCTTCCCCGGGGCTCACCCCCAGATCTCACATCTCACATCCCAGGGCAGGTTGCCTCTGCCCCATCCTGATAGTGGCGCTCAGAGGCCCCGAAAAGGAAGAGCTGGAAAGCGGGGTAGCCTCTTAGAAGTAGCTGGCACCGTGGCAAGAAGGGCACACGCATAGGGTCAGGGATGGGCACGGCCACCAACGAGGGAAGAACACATGAGGTTTCTTGTGGACCAGGTGGGGATGTTTCTCATCCAGTTGGAAGGCAACCCCCTGCCCCATTCAAAGGGCTCACCCCTCGAGTTCATCTCTTGGAGGTGGGGAGGGGGCCCCACGGGATGGGGGCTGGAGAGTGCTGTGCACTGGGTGGTCAGGAGGGGAGGCTCACTGATGGCGACACAGGGCCCACCAGCCATGGGGATCTGCGCGAGGAGCCGTCTGCGTATCTCCTGGGAGACCCAGCCAGGAGCCCTCGCTTCAGCTTGGGACACAGGTGTGCCGTGGGGCGGCCGGCCAGGAGGAGCTCCGGCTTGTCATCTGTGAGATGGGAATGTACTGACTTCACGAGCTCCGTGCCCACCCCACCCCCCTGCCCCGGCACTTGGAAGGTGCTCCAGGAACAGGTGGGCGGCCCCGAGTAGGGGGCAGCCAGGCAGCTGGGAGGACAAGAGTGAGCAACCCCAGCCTCAGGGGAACTGGGCCGGAAGCCTGTTCCAGGTCGGAGAACTAACGAGAAGGGCCATTCGGCTGGGCCAATGGGGCTGAGATCCCTGAACTGCCTTCCTTGGCTCCCAGCTCCCTCCTGGAACCCAGGATAGGCCTGGAGCCAGCTAATGGATTGGGATGGGGGGTGATGACCATCAGCAGGGTCCCCTTCAGGCAGAAGGGCCAGGCCAAGGCCAGAAATGGCAGGGACCTGTGTGGCTCTGCCCTCACCGGGGGGCTGGGCCCTCTGTTCTGTGCCCACCTCCTAGTGTTAAGGGCTCCCTTGCAGAGGTCTGGGCATCCCAGGCCCCTGGGGACTCTGGTGGCACCTGCTAGCACAGGGGCTCACGGCCACGTGTGGCCTTTGTCTGTGGGGACCCCGGAGCTCTGACAAATACTTCCCTGGGCAGAGGGAGACCCCATACACCAGCCTGTGGTGCCTCACCTGTGATGGGGAAGGTGAACCCCCCGGGAGGGTGGGTGCAGAGCCTGGGTCCTGAAGAAGTGGAGGGTCTGCCCCCAGGACCCCCCCCTTAGAGGAGCAGCTCATCACCTGGGCTGGTAGCAGGTCGTGTTACACCCAGCCTTGTTCAAAAAACATTTAAGGTAAACTGAAACATCTTGTCATAAATGGGTAAATGACATGAAAACTCAGGACCAGGGGTCACATAATTTAAAGGACCAGCTTCCACTTCCTCCCCCCCATCCACAGAACGTCTCACGTACAGATGTGTGGGCCTTGGCCTTGGATGAAGCACCAGCATCCTTTCCGAGAACCAAACTTTCTTACGACGAAGGCCACATCCCCGGTCAGGTCTCACTTTGGCCGCCAGGGAGCTCAGGCCAGGCCCCAAGCTGGCTGCGGCCAGTGCAAGCCTGTGGCCCAGGAGCCTGCTGTCCTACCCCACCCCACCTGCCACCCCTAGTCCCTCCACCTGTTCCCTCCACGGGACTCGTCACTGTAATTTCAGGGGCAGACACGGGGCGTGGGGCTGGAACCTTCTACGATGCAGGCATTCTAGATGTGGAGAAGCCCGTAACTCTGCAGCCCCAAGCCCTGGAAGAGACCCGGGCCCGGGAAGGGGCCCTGGGGCTTCGAGCTCCTAGGAGACCCGCTCAGAGGGGTCCGTGATTAGTCTGACCCCCACGAGGAGGCCGCCTGTCCTGTCCCCGCCGAGCCCCAGCCACAGGTCAGCGAGCCTGTGGAACGTTCACTATTTGTGGTTGGTCCGCCCACAGCATCACCAGGGAACCTTCCCCATGGGCTGGGCTGTAAGAACCCACCTTACTGTTTCTGTCTTCGTTGTAGGTTCTCCGGACACTCTCTGGCCCCTGCGTGGGGCGTGGGGGTCTCGGGCCCAGCCTGCACCTGCCGATGCGGACTCTGCGTCTCAGCCAGCCCCCAGGGGACCCGCGTGCCGTGACCCGCACCAGACACCGGCAGCCCTCCGTCCCGAGGCGGGTGCTCCAAGGGTCTGAAGTGAAAAGTCCCGCTAAGCATCAAAGTCAGTAGCGCTTCGGGCAGAAACTCGCCCAAAAGCAGGCGGTGGAGATGGGGGTGGGGTGGGAACGGGGCGCCCGCTCTATCCCGCAGCCTCAACCGATGAAGAGGATGGTGGCGGGGGTGCAGGGGGACAGAGGACCACACAGCGGGAAATCTGGGAGAAACCAACAAAGCTGTCTTAAACGATTCAACCCGGGAACCCCGTGTCCGCGTTGCAGAGGGGGTCCCGCTCTCCATCTCGGGGTGCTGCCTCGGTCTGTGTGACTCCTTGGGGCACCTGCGAAGCCCGTCTAGCACGGCCTTAGAATGGCGCTTTTACAAGAAAACACAGATGACGAGGGGAGACTCACGCTACTGTCGCCCCACATCCCCGCTGTCTGCAGAACGTGTCAGTGGTGGTGTCTCGGTTGGAGCCACATCCAGATCTCACGCGGGCCCGTACCCCCCTGCCCACTTGTCAGGACTTGAAGTGACATTTCAGGTCGCAGCACCCCCTGGGTGTGACGTGAGCCTGTGTGATCGCTGCTGGGGACAGACGCTGGGCGCTGCTCCTGGGCCCGGGCTCCACCGACCGTGCACTTCTCAGGAGGGACGCTAACGACACTGCTGTCCTTCCGTCCGGTGCATCAGCTCAGGGAGCTGAGGACTGGCGCTCCAGCCCCTGCGGCTCACCTCTGAGGGTGGGGGGACTCAGGGCACCCTCCCCTGGGAGCCCCCTGCCATGTGGCCCTATTCAGGACGCTCCCTGGCTTCCCCCATGGGGGCCACCGGCCTCCCCTTCCCGCCAGAGTCGCCGGGACCCAGCACTTGGGAGTGACAGGTGCCCCACCTGTCACCCTCCATGCCACCTCACCCTCCTGCTGTACCGCTGCCCCCCCCTCCCGGCTGGGCTGCCTCCCTCCCCAGCTGCACCCCCGGGGCAGCCAGGGAGGCTGCTCCACACACGGCAGCCCCCCGCGGCTGCCCGCTGCCCTGGGCCTGGTGCGGAAGGCCCTCCACGGGGGCGCCTCTCTAGGCCGCCTCTGGCTGGGGCTCCCTGCATCGACTCCCTCTTCCATGCACGTGCAGCACATGCACACCCCTGCATGCACACCCCTGCGTGCATATGCACGTGTGTGCACACACACTCCCCTCCCTGAGGCCCTTTGCTGCTTCCCACCACTGCCTGCACCCCTCATTCTCTGCTTTCCTTGAGCCGGACCCCTCTGCCTGGTGTACTTCAAGATTCCCCGAGTGCAAGATGCTCCCTGGTTTCCCTGAGGGGAAACCTGGCCAAGCCTCCCCTGGCACCCCACCCCCACCCCTCTTCCTAAGGCCTATGACATTCCCACGACACCATGGGCCCCGGGAAGGCAGGCCTGGGCTAACCCGGCTGAAGACACTGGGAGCTCCATGGCCCCGGCTGCCCCCCTCACCTGCACCCGTGGAATCCAGGAGGGGTGAGGCTAAAATGAGGAGGGTCCCCTCCTGGAAGAAGACACAGGACCAGGATGGGAAGAGTGGGCAGCTGGGGCCCAGGCCCCAAAGCAAGGCCCCCTCCTTCATCACATTCTCCATGAACAAGCCCAGTGCACCAGAGCATCCGGGAACTGAGGGGCTTTCACGGACCTCCCACGGGGAGGGGAGGTAGGGTGGGGGGCAGGGGGGCTGCAGGAGAGAGTTTCCACCTCCCACCCCCCTGCACACACCTCTGCATTCCCTGCTGGAACTCAGGTTCCCCTGGAGGTCATGCTCATCTACGCAGACACTAATGCACGCATGCATAAGTGTGTCTCTGTCTCTGTCTCTCTTTGTCTCTACCTCTCTACCTCTGTCTCTCTGTCTCCGTACCGCCAATGGCACTAAACCATACTGGCCCTACCCCCTCGGCATCTTCCCTGTTTTCTGGCAGACAAGTCCAGCCTGGTCCCTTGGTCCCAGGCTTCCAAACCCAGCCTGTCGCCCTTCCTAACAAGCAAAGGCCCTTTCGGCCACCAGGACCCACCCACCCACTTTGGGAGGCAGGAGAACTGGAGGTCGAGAAAGCCACCTCCGGGGACCGGGAGAATTTTACAGCAGCAGCTGTCCTGGCCCCCAGGAACTTGACACTCTTGCTCTGGGCCAGCGCCCGTGTGGTCCTCCCATCCCCACCCCTGTCTCTGTCCCTGGGGCTGCCTGCTACCACGCATCCTATTTCACAGGCGACAGGACAGAGGCTCCAAGAGGTGTGAGGCCGGCTATGGTCCCTCGGCTGAGAGGGTGGCCGTGCCAGGGCCCTGTCACACCTCGGTCCCACTGCAGAGCTCTGGTGGCCGCTGGCCAGAGCATTAGGGGACGGGGACGGGGGACCCACGGCTGGGACCTGCGCCTCCCGGGGCCACATGCCTGCTGGATGAGCTGAATGGTGGAGGAGCCTCTGGGGAGCAGGAAGGCCAGGCCAGAGGGAGCCTTGGTCCTTTTCTTGGAAAAGGTAAAGAAAATCCTGTCGTATTGTTAGTCCCTCTCCACCCTCCCTGTCATCTGCCCTTTCCTTCCTGTCATCTCAGACTTCAGTTCAAAATGGCACAGGCGTGTCTGCGTGGACTCGTTAGAGGATGGAGCTCACTGCAAATGCACAGGTGGCGTGGGGAACACGCTCATGCATGACTGGAGGGGCCCCCAAACTTTACAGGCAGATGGGGACACACCCCAGGCACCTCCCAGTCTGCCCGTGATCCTTGCCCTGCCGAGTGGCCCTGAGCAGCAGCTTTCAGAGACTGCCTCCTTCCCCAGGGCTCCCTGCTTCCTC